ACTAGTACATGTACCGAAAGGAACTACATTAAATTCGTAGGTATTGCCTTCGATTATAAATGCTGTATATTTTTTACTTTCTTCTTCGAGAGGAATCTGCCAAAAACTACTTGTTAAATCAAAACTAGAAATAAACTTTATTCCAAAACAATGTTGAAAGATATCATCTATGTGTAGTGGGGCTTCATAATCTTTAACTAATTTTTTATTCAATTTTCGAGCATCTAAACAAAATCGCACTGATCCGTCTTTTTTAATGCTTATAACAATTGGATTAATATAATTGCTAATTGATCGACGAATGACGCCATCTTTTAGCATTTCTTTGATTGCAATTCGAACATTTTCTCGATAATTTAACGGTATAGGATACTGTTTTGAGAAATATGGCTCTTTATCTTTCAAAATCAATTTATGAGTATATACTTTCAATAAACCTAATTTTTTACGAAATACATCTTTAAATTCGTACACAAGCGAAGCTATCTCATTTTTTTGAGCATCGGTAAGGTTAGAGCTTTCATCAACTTTCTCATTAATTTCCCCTCGAGTTAGATTATCAGAATCATCATTTGTAATGCCTGCATCTATTTCATTACGAGTTAGATCAATGAGTGATGGTATGTCATCCCCAAAATCCGAGACAGTATCATACTGAATAGTTAAGCTTTGATATGTACTTTCATCCATAAATGCATCGTTATATTTCATGTTTTCCAAAGTATCATTAATTTCAAAATATATTTGCACTTTAAATGTGTCAAGTTTGAGCTTTATATTTTTCATAGTATCATAACCGATAATACAATCTTTAATTAATCTAGGAATAATTATGAAGATAATATCAATGTATTGACTACCCCATTTTACATTCAAATAAATTTGTTTTTTCAATCTCACCGATTTTTGGCCTGTAGCTACCTTAATAACGTGTCCACTAATCGGCAAAGTAGGTTTATCTTTAAAATTGCTTAAGTTTTGATTGTAAAATTCTTCTGAAATAGCAGAGACTTCACTACCCGAATCAAGTAGAGCTTTTACTGGAATGTTTTCTAATAAGAGAAATATTTCAGGACAAATTCTGCCCCCACTACTATTATCGTTATTTGATAATTCACCGTTAATTTCATTTCTAGGATCTTCAAAAATAGTTAATAATTCTTTAGATAATAAATTGTTACTTGATTTTATTGTTGCAACTCGTTGCAAGCTTTTGCATTTATCCGATTTCCGAGAAGCAACATTTACTCGTTTCCCGAGGAAGTACTAGGTACATCTTGTAAAATCGGTTTTGCAATATTCTTATTTTTATTTACTTTATTATTCTTATTATTCGACTTACTATTTTCAATTGTTATGCTATTAATTTGTTGTTCTCCGCCGCTATCTTTTTGAGCATGACGTGAACTGATGTAATCATCATTATCCAAAGAAGATAAAACTTTAATAAACTCTGATATCTTTTTTATATGTCTAGCTTGAACTAATAAACGCACATCTCTATCAAAATGTCGAGATAATTTATCTATTAATTCTTCTTCATCTAGATTTTCATTTATATCAAAAGCTAAATTAATCTTACGTATAGCATAATTATAACGTGATAATTTTCCACCAAAATATTTTCCAAATTCTATTTCGCGAGTAATATTTCTACGTATTTCAGCGTTCCAAAATTTCTCTTTAAATAACATTTCAAAATCTTCAAAATTTCTAATTTCCCGCTGTACTAAATCATACCAAGAAGAATTTACTCCCGTCATAGATTGAGATAACAAACATAACAATTGAGCAGTATTATAATTACTTGCTTGCAAATAACGTTTGAGATCATTTAAATATTTTACTGGTCGATACTTATAACTATCGTCAAAAACTGGACACGTTAAAGCAGGTTGCTTAATAGTTTCAATAATAGTTTCATTAACAATTGATCTATTTTGTTCATTATTTTTAATTTTATCAATATTCTCACGAAGTACTGAAAATGTTTCATTCATTTCCATAGTAACATTATTTTTCGCTCGAACAATATCATTAAAATTATCTTCACATCTATCTTTTAAAATAGCAATAATTTCATTTGACTTTTCTAAATTTGATTCTAAACTTTTAATTATTTGATCTTGTTCAACCATTTTATTCGTTAATCTATCAACTTTATTACTTAAATTGTTAATAGTTTCACAAATTGTCTTAAAATCATTTTGTAATTTAAATTGATCAGTATGAAATGTCTTTAATTCATCTACTACGGCTTTTTCCCATTCGTGCGTTCTTTTTTGTTGCACGGTCAATTCTTCACCAATTAGTGATTCACTAAGTTCGTTAAGAATTGTTTCGGGAGCACATTCCGTAGAATTATACATTGAACGTTTTTCGTTTGACATTGTAATATCAACAAAAAGAATCCAAAACAAACAATCAATCTTATATCAATAATAAATGATATATATAGGTGATACTAATCAATCAACTCACAATAATATATAGGATTTAACAAATAATTGAACAAATTCAAATTATATATCCCAGTAATCAAATTTATTATAAATAATAATATAATTTATGCGCCTGGAGCAGGCCTAGATACTAACATATGTTCTACAGTATCAGCCAAATGATTTAAATCAGAGCTCATATTTCTTAAACTAGTATCAAACAATTTCATGTTCTTTTTGTAATTATTGCCTAAATTAACAAACGATTCCGCAAGTTCCATATACAATGTACGTAGTTCATTTATTTCTTTTTCCAATGACGCATTCTTACATAGTACTGCTCGCATATGTTTATTTCTTTTCGGCATAATAACAATTTACAATAAAATTACAAACTAATAAACAAACTAATAAACTAAATGACAAATACTTAACAATAACTAATGTAACAAGAGTCCTGTCACGGTCGCCAAATGTGATGTTCGTATCACTTATAAATAAAAATAATTCGAACTCTCGTAATTTAGCTAATGAGTAAGAATTTGTTTCCGATGATTTTACTCTAATTTCAAGAAAATAGCTAAGTGAGACAAATACAATAATTAAGTAAATCAAATATATATAAGTAATGATAAAATATCGAGGAAAGTCAGACAATGCCCTAGTTTCTTATGGTGCGAGTTGTCCCATAAGCAGAGCTAAAGTCTTTCTTGGATAGGATATAATTCGGCCCAAGTTTCTTATAGCGCGAGATGTTCTATAAGTCGAGCTCAAATTATAAGGAAAGGTTAGTCTTGCTTAGTAAATCACAATGAGAGAAAGAACTTAGGTGTTGATCCAAGTTTATTCAAACTCATGCGCTCACTTTGCAAGGCTAGAAGTGAATGAATCTAGCCTGTGCAAAGGTGGGCCTATTTATACACAGATTTTCCCGCTTATTATTGCAGGAGAGATTTCATCGAAAATTCGAGAAACATTCCCGAATTTTGAGAAATGATTTTTCTTCATTTACAAGTAAATAACCATTAATATTAAGTTTTTTACACATGTAAATTTTACAGAACTGGTTATTTGTTGATTTTATACTATATATAATTATCGCCAATAGTGTCGTCAAAAGTTATTAACTAATAAAGTTAATTAACGTGATATTACATTATTTACAATAGAAAATTATTAAAATTTCATATAACTTTATAGTTAATTAATTTTGGAAGTATTTTCCAAAATTAATTATTTAAATTAATTAATAACATTTGAATTATGACTAATTTTTCATATTTGTAACGGTTTTCTTTTAATCTTAATATGCGATTATTAGGTTAATTATCTAAAATTTCTAAATCATAAAATTGTCATTATCAAGTATTAACTTAATGTTTTCGTTCTATATATCGCTTATTGTTTAAATAAATTATTTGTTGTTTATTTATTAATAACAGTTGTTATTTAGCTGTTATTAATGAAACCAATTCTTACTCATGTTCTATGCTTATTCATTTTACACATAAATTATTTATATTTTTCTAATATTTTATATGTTAATAAATAAATTAACTTTACATATCGATATTCGTTATAAATTTATGATTGAATAAAGTATTGTGAATCTGTATGTTAAAATCTATATAATTGATACTTTGTTATATTCAAATTATCTATAATTAACATATTTTTCTCAATGTTATGATTCATTATATCTATGTCTATTATTTGTGACGTCACGCTATTTGTTTTGACTCGACTCTTATTTGTATACAGTCGCGTAAACAGTGAGTTAGCGCCGCTTAATGTATTGTTTTGACTAAACATATTAATACGTTAGACTAGTTGCAATGATTTAATAACAGCTCATAAATAGGACCGTTACACGATGCGCGCGCAAAACTCTCAGAATTTACCAATCGTTAACTTATCAACAGCGGGTCAGGGGTGCGCGGTACCCACTAATCTCGACGTGCGTCATTTCAACTGGTAGTACTCATCGTTGGTCACAGTTGGTGCGTTAACCATCATTCATTGCACTAAAAAGTCAAAAAGCATCACCGGCATCACCACAAACAGCGCTTCATCTTCAGGAACTTTGATAGCGATGAGCTCTTTTTACCATGCTCCCTCTCACATGGAATCCACGATCGAATGCCGCTCCATAGTGCAGTGATTGACGAGCTTCAGTGCTATCAAGCCGCTTTGAGCTATAGCACTCTGCCATTCTTATTGAAAGTGACGGGACCGTTAGGCATTTTGGTGCTAATGGTAGTAGATGCCTTATTAAGAAAACTGATTGAGGTTAAATAAGACAAAAAAAAAAGAGAAATGAGAATTCTAAAAGAGAAACTAATAAGACTACAGGACTGAAAGCATAAGAAATACGCATAACTGAGATGGAATTCTCTGAAATCAAAACTAGCCTCACATAAGTAATAGTGAAAAGAAGTACATTCTATTAAACTAGCTACTTTAATTTATACCTAATTACATCGAATTATCCTGATTTAAATTTGACTTTTTAAATGTATAGGTAGAAATAAATTAAGTTTGCTAATTAATGCACGATACCTCTCTCTTTTGGATTGCTTTCTCCGTTGCCCCAACCAACCAATAAGTTTTAACTTCGCCTTTTCCTTTCATTTGTATCAGACCACGATCTTCGATTATGTAGCCGCCAATTTTTTCCAAAGCTTCTTTGCACTGCGAGCTTATATGAATTTTAAGTGGTTCGCCATTAGACTCCATCCGTGATGCTGTATTCACAGTATCACCAAAGAGGCAGTATCTTGGCATAGTTAAGCCGACTACTCCTGCAACCACTGGACCTAAAATATTTATTTGTCATGTGCATTTTTTATATATTGTAATTTATAGAACAGTTGCTTAATCAAAGAAATGAATGAAAAAATGTGAAACTATATTTGAAAATTAATTATACTGAAAAATAAAATATAGTGCGTAGATGCAGTAGCATCCAATAAAAAGGCACGACTATTTAAAAAAAAATGTATTTTTTGTCTGTAAAAATTTTTAATCGGATTATATATCGTATCGCCCAGATTATAGAATCTACTACAAGCATATCGGGTAATGTATACTTGACATAGCATATAAGACATAAATAAAAGATACGTATATACTACATGCGAGGCACTCTATTAGTATATAACTCTAGTAAAATAACATGAATAATGAAACAGAGAACATGATATTAAACTTATCATAGTAAAAGTAAAGAATATGATAAGTTTCAATACAAAATAAGTGTTGGAAAATATTCAATAAGATATACAGTGCCGGTCAGCCACTTTTACCCCCCCACGGGCAAAATCAGTCTAACTTCAAAGTTTTATATCTCTGGTAGAAATTAACGTACACAGACGCGCGTGGGTGCGTTTGAAAGGTCTTTCGGAGAGCTTTCAAATGATATGACTCACGGTTGCCATCGATTGTTTTTTTAAATTTTGCAACAATTATGCAAAATTGAAAATTCTGAAATTTTTTTATTATTTTTGACAATTAGCCAATTTTGGAAAAAAAATCGTACGAAAATTTGAAGTACACCATTTTTTAGCTATTACCAAGCCCTATCTGAATCACTCATTAAAAATTTATTTTCGTCAAATATGACGCGCGCACGGGCATTTTTTCCTGGAAGTGACAGTTTTTTTCAACATTTTTTATCTCCGTCAAATTGTAACAATCGAAAAAAATTTTATAGGGGAAAAAATATTTGTTTTTTCACGTAGAATACTGCAATAATTTTTTTTTCGGTTTTTCGAAAAATTTTTTTTTTCGGTTTTTTTCAATTTTTTTTTCTCACAGTCGGTACGCTAAAAAAATGAGAAACCACAAAAAAAAATTTTTTCCACCCATTCAATAATACTACATAACAAGTATCGTAAATTACATAAAAAAAAAATCTTTTTTTTTTTCGATCTTGAAAAATAATTTAAACCGAAAAAAAAAATTTTTCGAAAACCCGAAAAAAAAATTATTACAGTATTCTACGTGAAAAAACAAACATTTTTTCCCCTATAAATTTATTTCGATTGTTACAATTTGACGGAGATAAAAAATGTTGAAAAAAACTGTCACTTCCAGGAAAAAATGCCTGTGCGCGCGTCATATTTGACGAAAATAAATTTTTGATGAGTGATTCAGATAGGGCTTGGTAATAGCTAAAAAATGGTGTACTTCAAATTTTCGTACGATTTTTTTTCCAAAATTGGCTAATTGTCAAAAATAATAAAAAAATTTCAGAATTTTCAATTTTGCATAATTGTTGCAAAATTTAAAAAAACAATCGATGGCAACCGTGAGTCATATCATTTGAAAGCTCTCCGAAAGACCTTTCAAACGCACCCACGCGCGTCTCTGTACGTTAATTTCTACCAGAGATATAAAACTTTGAAGTTAGACTGATTTTGCCCGTGGGGGGTAAAAGTGGCTGACCGGCACTGTATATATAAAAAAATGATCATAATTATTAATATTGCTTATATGGTAAAATAATAACATTAATGATCTAATGTCAATGGTAAGTCGTATAGTAACGTATTGCAACGATTACCGAAAATCGTAAGACTCGCGCGAGGTTAACGAGCGGCTAAGCGAGAGGAGCCGCGTTCGGTTCGCGAGAGAGAGAGAGCGCGTAAGGGGCAATGACCGGGAGGGGAGGCTCCGACCGGCAGTATGACTGTGCCACTCAGTCAGTTCGTGCCGATCTAACCTCCGTTTTCCCGAGCCGTTCAAGTTTCGTGTGTTTGCCATTGACATTGAGAATTTGAGTGCGTGGGTGTGCTAATAGCAACAACTGCAGTAGCAGCAATAGCAACGGCAGCAATAGCAACAACATCAGTAGCAGCAACAACAGCGACAACAGTTACGAGGCGGCACAGCGAGCATCGAAGCGGCGTCTAGCAACTTGTTGTTCGGATACGGTTGGCCACCGTATCCTCATCGATATCGCGGTAGGTGCACCTTCTTCCCATTGTTAATCGTTGTTATCACTTGCGTGCGAATCCGCGCAGCGAGCGCGAAGAATTTGTTTGTTGCGCGCGAGCAGGTAGTTCGCGGTAATCGCGTTTTTTTCTCTCTCTCTCTCTCAAACAGCGTGTCTTGTCATTCACGCGAGCGTGCGAAAGTCTCTCGGCAAAACTCCCGTGTAGTTAAATTGCATCAATAAAGTGCATGTTGATCGTTACTTTCGAGTTAAATAGTCGTTATTTAGTCTTTCCTTTGTCCGGAGGTCGCGCCAGTGTTTATTTTCAGGGGATTCGAATTCGCCGGTTGCGTAGCACGAATCGTGCGATTATCGATAGACGCGAGTCGACGACTTAGGTTCCGGCGGCGACCGCACGAGCGCTACTAGCAAGGGGCGACAGCGCCGCCAAGCGGTGAGTTGGGGGAACCCAACTCGGAACAGTGAAGAGACTCTGCGCAGGCGCACTCCGAGGCAAGGTAGGTTACTGTGCTTTGAGCACATAGATAACAAGGCTTCGTCTAGTTATAATAAGGGCAATTTTAGAGATTATAGGCTAGGCGACAGCCTGTTACAGTATGTTCTGGGTCAGTTTCTTCGAACGGTGTCGTGGTCAGCGGTGGCCAAGGGCTATTTATTCCTAGTCCTTATTGCATACATTAACTATACATGTGGTATAGGGCCCGAATGCGCGAAGGAATGGAGCACATACTCTCTCTCTCGTTCTGATTCAGCGTGGCTTGGGAATGCGCGGTGGTAGAGAGTGCTTACTCTCTCTCTATATCTCTCTCTCTTTCTTTCTTTCTTTCCCTCACTCTGGCTCAATGCCACTAGATTTGGCTGCTAAAGTAAGTATTTAAAATACATAAATATTTTTCTTATAAAGTAATATAAATATACGTTTACGCTTAAAAGAATCTTTTATCAGAGAGAGAGAGAGAGAAAGAGAGAGAGAGAGAGAGAGATCTTTATTGCACCAATGACCTAGAACACCGTCCAGTTGTGAATTGAATCACTTTTCGACAATGGATTTAGGTTTTTTATATCAAATTCTATAAGAAACTTTATTAGATTGCTAAAAAAATTGATTTAATTCATAGAGGAATATGAAAAAAATCATGAAATTTCGGAAAAAGGTCTAGTTTAACTTTCAACATTATTTGGTTAAATGAACGTTACAAGACCATTTTTCTGCTATTTTATATTATTTCAGCTTTAGAATACCATTCAATTCATTTCGTAATCACTATCTGTTTGCAGGTTATTTGATTTTTACTAACAACTAAACGAAATAACACACTATGTACCTTGCCTGATTACCATTGCGAGTACGTTATTTCTGTTTCCCTTTTCGTCTTTTTATTCCCGTGTCCTTTTCTCTATTCCTCTCTTTCCCATCTCAGGCTCTCTCGTGCGCGAACGTTGCTACCTGCATACATGGTAGGTTGCTAGGTAGCCGGAGAAATTTTGCTTCCCGAATTTTCGTGTAAATAAATTTGGAAATAGAATCGCCGACAATAATATATTAAAAAAATATCGATTCGCCCTTTACAAAGTAAAAACAAAAATCAAAGCAAAAGTATAACAAAACAACACTTTAAGATGAGAACTAAAAACGTAAAAAATAAAAATATAAATAAATCATAACAGAACAATATATAATTTGGGCTAAAGCTTGGAGCGTATATCTACTACTGTGGGTAAAAAATAGTAAGACTTTTTAATTTAAATTTCGCGTGAAAATCTATTCGTCAAAATATTTTTTTTGCTAGGTGGGTATGACTGTCAGTGATATCTGTGCCAAATGTCACATCAAAATAATCATTAGTGTTTAGTATATACTTGTCTTTTTGAAGTACAAAAAGTACGTTCGGCGATTTTTACAATCAGTTAAATTATTCAACAAAGAAGTTCCATTAAATTTTGTGTGCGGAATCAAATTTCTGGTGTCGAAACGCTCAGAATGTTAAAAAGGCCTTTGGTGATAATTATATGTCATGAGCAAGTGTTTTTGATTGATACAAACTGTTCAAATAGGGTCGAGAACGCGTTGACGATGAACCTCGTCCAGGACGGCCATCAACATCAACTGATTATCAACACATCAAGAAAATCAATGAAGTGATGCTTGAGAATCAACGATTAAAAATCAGAGACCTTACTTGCACCGTTGAAACATCAGAAAGATCAGTAAAAACCATTTTAAAAAATTATTTAGGCGTAAGAAAAGTGAAAGTACACTTGATTCCAAAATCACTCAATTTTCTTGAAAAACAGCGACATGTTGACATTTGTGAAACATAGCTTTCCGACTATCAGGATGTCATGAAACGTATTATAATTGACGATGAGTCTTGGATCTATACTTACGACCTAGAAACAGATGATCAATCGGCCGAATATCGTGCCAAAGGTGAGCCGTAGCCGAAAAAACCACGTTAGAGCAAGTCAAAAATCAAGGTCATATTGACAGTTTTCTTCAATTATCAAGGTGTGGTACATTCCGAATTTCTTCCAATCAACCAAACTGTTAACAAGGAAGACTATTTAAGTGTCATGCGTTGTTTGTGTGAAGCTATTCGTAAAAAGAGGCTGGAATTCTGGGCCGACAATTCTTGGTTTTTGCATCATGATAATGCACCGTTGCATAATGTATTGATTCTTTGTGAGTTTTTCGCCAAAAATTTGACCAATATTATTCCGCAACCACCGTATTTGCCTGATTTAGCTCCGTGTTATTTCTGGTTGTTCAGCAAATTCAAACGACCGCTTCGAAGAAACTGTTTTGACTCAATTGAAGACATTAAACGTGAAACGCTACGCGCATTGAAGGCTATTCCG